AACACGTGTAATTATATGCATGTTAGCAGTGCCAACATGCAATAACTGCCAACTTGGCAGACGAAATCAATGGGCATTAGACCACCGCATACCGCTCTGCAATGCAGGCGCCACCCCTCACATGTCGCGCGTGAAACGCGTTCCCCCAAGGTCGCCAAAGACCTCAGCGCGTGGACTGATTCTCCGGGCACCGCGTGATTCTCACGCTGTGACCCAGCAGGGTAGCATCTGTAGTGCGGATTTTGCACTGTTAACAACAGCTGAGATCCCTGATGATCAGAGAGTGAGAGGAAATTTTTTAGCTAGAGACCAGTAGTGTTGAGTGCCTAAGTTGACTCCCAACTAAAGCTTATCCAAGGCGCAGAAAAGCCTTTGTGTATGCGTGCAACTGTGTAAGGGCATAGCTAATGGCTTAAGGGGACAAATAACTTCAAGAGTGCAAGGATAACCATTCTCAGTTACTTACACTGTAGCGTCTTGGGGCTCAAGTATGGTTCTTCCCAGTGACAACTCAGGATCATTAGGAAATGAGGGTGATAATATCTGATACCGATGTCATATGAATCAATAAGTTCGACCGAAAAGAATAATGGGCAATCCGTGAGGCTTCCAAAGCACAAGCAATGAGCAATGGGGCACGCACACACATAGCCTGATCGATTGTATTCGGCGACGATGACCCAAGCAGTCGCACCTCTTGGGAGGGGCAGCCTCATGGAGCAGCCTCAGCACAGAGACCTTCCTTACAGCGGAACGCTGTAGACGTCCCCCAAGGTCTCGAGTGCTGGAAAGCAGGAAAAAGAGAAAAGATTACGCCTCAAGGTATGCTGCCTCAACCATAGCAGCGCGTGAGGTGTCCTTGAGCATGTTTGTCGGAGTCAGATTGATACGCAGAGTACCGAAGACACCGTACGCAGGAGCGGACTGTCCCGCCGAGCGTTTTCCGGAGTGTCACCAGTGTAAGTAGAACCGTCATGAGATAACCACACCGGGAAAAATTTATTGCCATCATCCGAGTCGTAGATCTGGACCACTAGTGAGCCATGCGCGACACTATCGTCGTTGTCGGTTTCAGCCATGACCTTTCCGATAGCATCAGCACCACACGACAGCCTGGCAAGAATAACCTGACCAGGTTTTATCGAAGTGAAGGGTCTCTGGTCTCAACGGCCATAGTTGGACGGTTTCTATCCACAAAGGCATGCCTGGATTCCAGATGACAAGCAGAAACGCTGACAGAGTGACCAGGTGGGCTGCCTAGTGGGCGTAACCTGGTCCCGAAGCCAGCCAACGATCCAAGGTAGCAAAAGGGACCATCTTCAATATGGACGCCGCTGACCAATCTGACGGTTCCTTCAACGGGTCGAGACTCAGGACGGCGCCACACCACGAGCTCACCATCTTTTAGTGGACGACCTGGCCGAGCCGCAGAGGCTCGAAGGCAGTCCCGAACGTGGGCTTGAAGAGTGGAGATTCGAGCCGCGCCCACCGAGCTCTTGAGAACTTCCCTGAGGGCCTCTGGTACCTCAGCAGATGTAGGCTACATCATGTAGCTAATGTTTCAAGATCTCCGATGTGGACGATGGGCGTGTTGTTTGTGATGGCAGATAGGACCGATGTGGAAGGAGTACGAATTTGCGTGCCAAACATGAGTTCCGCCGCCGAATGGCCAGAGACTCGCTTTTGGGAATTGATCGACAGCTGGACAAAAGAAAAGGCTTGATCCCATGGCCGTTTGGTCGTCGGGAGGACGCGTTTGACACGTCCGACTCTTTCCTCAGCACTGCCATTCAAAAATAGTGAGTATGGCGGGACCGTGTTGAAGCGTACACCACAAGACAGGAGCGGCGTGCGCAGTGACGGCGCGTCGATGAAGTTGTCCCCGGTAACACTAGGGGGTACACCAAAGATACTCACCTACGACTCGTAGGCTACGAGCCATACAGCACTTTAGCCGTCGTACTTTCTCTCACATCTTCCGCACCTCACAGGAGTGTATACCCTGTGGCCAAGTCCGAGATGAAAAGGAATGCCTTGAGGGATGGGTTTGCGGGAGATATCCATGTAGGGTTTGGGTAGCCATGGTCAATAGCAATATGCTTCCCGCGAGCATTCAGATCTATTAGTCCCCACGGAAGGCGTGGTGCGGTGATCAGTTTCATACGCTTGGTAGGCTTCTGCTCCATGCAATGATCACATCGCTCAACCCAGGACCTAGCATCGCGAAGGAGAGAGGGCCACCAAACGAAAGGAACAAGGCTATCCCGCATGTCCCTGTGAGGTCTATGATAATCCATTTCATGGGCAACAAAAAGGAGCCAATCTCGCAGTTTTCAGTCTGTGTCGGCATTGGTGCCGATCATGCCATTCAAACCGGTAACTACGCCTCCTGGAATGACTGGAACAGATATCGGTTCAGTCAACACAGCTTCAGAGATAGTCATGACCACCCCTCCAACATGGGTGACAAGGCCGAGAGCTTTAGCCTCAGCGGCTAATTTCTGAAGTTTCCCAGTTCCGTCAAAGTGATGTTGCCATGCCTGTAGCGTAGCACCATGGAGGAGGGTAGAGGAATCTGCCTTCTGAAGAGTTATCAACTGAACTCTCAGGCCACCCGCCAGGATGCATCTGGTGGAGTCGTGGACAGAGGCAGAACGATCCGTGGTGGGTAGTTCACTTTGGGAGGATGATGTCGAGATCATCAATGCAAACGCTTCGCCACCACCCTCAGAGACATACCGCTGTCCCCCTTGAGCAAGACGACTCAGGAGATCTCTGAAAGAGTTATCCTTCCCTTTCGCATGCCGGTAGGTTATATCAGCCTCATCGTACTCCAGTAGGTCTGCCAGCCGTGAAAACCACCGTTTAGTCTGTCGAGTAGTCGGCTGGTAGGTAGAGGAGTTGAGACGACCCTCGATCTTGCCCAGAGCACTAGTGGAGTCCATGAAAACCGTGATCCGTCCGAGACCAGGGTGTTTGTCCGAGGACTCCTCGGCGAGGAGTGGAACTTATGGAAGTTGAGGAAGGAAAGGATGAGTTGACGCCAGTGAGACAGAGCGTGACATATGGCATATAACTCACGATCGGCGATGTCGTAGGCCTTCTCATATGTGGACCATTTGTGGGTCCATACACCGATGAGTTGGGAATTATCATGGCCTCCAACGTCAAGGGCGTGTTCACTCGATCGGACCGGTGGCTCTGGCTCTGGATCGAGTCGATCCTGGGTCTGAGCATCAATATCTTACGTATTCCTAGTAACTGGACAGAACACCGGCAAGTCTCGCCGGTTTCATGTTTCCTAAGGTTGAGAATTCCCGGTGGTAACTCGATTTTTGTCTCGATAAGAGTAACCTTTGCCTTCCATCATAGTGGACCGTAATCAAATGGCCAGGTCGGAATCGCATGGATGCCGTTCTTGAATGATGGTTCCGTAGTAGTTCAAGTGTTCGCGCGGATGATGGTAGAGTTGCGAATCACAACTTATGGTGCGGATAGTATCGGGTTCAATTCCTGTCGTTATCTTTTACTATCGCGAGTAGCATGATTGTGGTGCGTCTCGAACGATGAGTGATGTCGTCTATCGTCTGATAAATTACTCCATGCTTCGATTCATTCTGTTGATGTGTTGGTGTAGTTTTCATAAACCGCTGCAACCGAACACAAGTCATTGCCAACGATTCATTGGTATCATTCAGAAGCGAATAATCTGACCTCTGAAATACAATGTCTCTTGATAAGCTAAGAATCATCTCGATGGTGGATCATCATGATCCGATCATCGCCTGCGGACCCCACAGTGTCAAATAGGGGAATATGAAAGAACGTCGCGCGTTCGAAAAAGATTAATGAGCTGGTTCGGACGATCGAGAGAAATCTCCAAAAAGATTCCTCGAACACGTCAGATGATCTCGAGCCGTTACTCTGTCTTGTAATATGCATAGGCGAAGCTTGTTCTTAGAGGATTCTCTGAGAAATGATGGTAATGTCCACATTACACGTTCATTATTGCGCTAATGACATTAGCTGAGCTCGACGTTGAAACCTCCGATGTCCAAGGCGCCATTGAAAACATAACTTGTGCCAACGAGTCCCGAGCCGAGCACGATACGGAGCTGCTTACCCCAAATCTCAATGAATCCTGACTTTTTATAGAGTGCTATTGCAGCGGTATTCGAAGCTGCCACGAATAAGTACACACACGCATTCGGATAGGGCTTGAGAACCTGAAAAGTAATGAGGCTTTATAGGAATATACCCTGCCTGCTGAATGAAGACTGTCGTCATAGACTCACGTTTGTAGATACCTCCGATAAAAGTCTACTCGCAATTCCTTGTCTTCGCCAACCCTCGGCGACTGAGACCTAGAAATGAGATGGCGGATTGTCATTGACGGCCCTGGTCGTTGAACGATAGCATTCAACTCACAATATTTATAACCCCAATGACGCCGACTGGTATCTTCTTGTCTGGCCTGTCATCAAAGTTATGCTCGAGGTTGGATTGTTATTTCCCTGAGGGGGGAGTGCTCACCTATGGGCGTCAATTTCAGTCTTGAGAAACTCTGGTGTGTCTTCATAGGGGATATTTATCTCGACGACGCCGACCGCGGTCTGAAAAGACAAGAGTTGCTGTTGGTACCTACAGCCGTCAGACTGTCTTCAGCTATACTGAGTCTTCAGCACAGATAAGGAATGAGCTGAGAGCTACCCACAGTCAAGTGAACCGCAGTAACTCGAGAGGTTTATACACGCATGAGGACCTCATGATGAGGTCGATTGAGGCAGAAACGAGGAGAGCATTCAGAATAAGATCAGATACCAACTTCAGAAGTTAGGAAGTTCGAACTTCCTAATACGATGAATCGTTGTCTGAACCACGCGCAACCTCACCTTGGAGCCGCTACGCACCGCGACCCAGCATATAAAGTCCTTGCAGTCCAGAAGGATGGTGTCTACGAGGGATAAGTCGTCCCCCACCTCGTATTTACGGAATATCACTGCATCGAGCGATCGCAGGGCATGCTGTTCCGACACCACATTATGATCGAGAAGGCCGGCCTGCGCTGTGACGGACAGCAGTTCGAAGAATAGAAAGGTGGACAGCTTCATTTACGAGGCGCAGATTGTAAGAGATGGAGATTGCACCTGTACACGTAAGGTACAAGACATGGGTTTAATGGTCGAATGGCGCCTCATTTCCCTTCACGAACCCTACAGTTCGATGTACTAGCATCACACATACACAACTGATTGTTCTATTTCACGCACATCATGCGTGAAACACGTGTAATTATATGCATGTTAGCAGTGCCAACATGCAATAACTGCCAACTTGGCAGACGAAATCAATGGGCATTAGACCACCGCATACCGCTCTGCAATGCAGGCGCCACCCCTCACATGTCGCGCGTGAAACGCGTTCCCCCAAGGTCGCCAAAGACCTCAGCGCGTGGACTGATTCTCCGGGCACCGCGTGATTCTCACGCTGTGACCCAGCAGGGTAGCATCTGTAGTGCGGATTTTGCACTGTTAACAACAGCTGAGATCCCTGATGATCAGAGAGTGAGAGGAAATTTTTTAGCTAGAGACCAGTAGTGTTGAGTGCCTAAGTTGACTCCCAACTAAAGCTTATCCAAGGCGCAGAAAAGCCTTTGTGTATGCGTGCAACTGTGTAAGGGCATAGCTAATGGCTTAAGGGGACAAATAACTTCAAGAGTGCAAGGATAACCATTCTCAGTTACTTACACTGTAGCGTC